TATTGTTAAAACCGAGCTGATCATACTAGTTCTGTGAAGTGGTTTTGACATTTGGGCAAAACAAAACTACTGAACTCAGAAGAACTGCACAAAAGAAACTGAGCCAGGTGCCAAAAAATAACAAGACAGACATTAGCTATAAACCGCAGAGAAACAGGTGGTGTGACCGCACCAACTTCCACTCCGGTAGTAAAATCTGAATGACAATTCAGCACAGTTCCCTCCTATTCAAACACTGCGGTTAATAAAACACAATGTAGAAAAGAACAGAAAGTGGAAGGGGAGGGAAGAGACAAAGACACATAAAAAAAGAAGTTAAAATGAGTCAAAATTCTCACCAAATCCTTCAGAAAGACACCGCTCCCGCTGCTGTTGTAGCTAGCTTTTCGTTGCGATCATTTTTCGGCGCTGTTTGATGACGTAAATCAATCGCGGACGCGGGGGGTTGTGGTACTTGTAGGTTTCTATTGTCTCTGGTTGCATTTAGCGTTTTGGAGAAAATTATAAATTTCCACCAAATAACCAGATTAATAGCATTTTAACTAGCTTGATATGACTGTGAGACCCAGATTTAAATAATCAAACAGGTTGTTTCGTACAAAGGTTTTAATCTAAGTTTCTATGTTTGTTGTTTTGCCTCCAAGTTCCCATTAAGTCTTTGCAACCAGACATGGAGCAGTTTGACTGAAAACAACTTGAGGAATATTGTACCTGTTTACATCATTAATTTTGATTTCCGTGAAAAGTATTCAGACAAATATTTCTGGCTTTTCAAAGGAAAGAATTATAAAGAAAGACTGAAAGGTAGAAAAGTCTTTCCACAATTTCTCTCTGTCAGATCCTATAGTGAAGCAGCGACAGCCAACACGATCACCCAGCAACCATCAGCTGGATGACCAGGAGGTGATGCCCTTCCACCAACGCAGCACAGGGCCTCCCAGAGGCTTGGTGCAGACTGACAGCCCAAATTTCCTCTGCAGCAGCCTGCCAACACACTGGAGGTGTAACAAGACCCTGCCAAGAGCTTTTACTGTAAGCTATCTATCTATGAAGACTGCCTTGAGATCAGTGTCAAAGGTCATCTGATGTCAATGGGAATTTTTGCCCCGAGTTTATTGCTAATGTTTCTCCATGCTACAGGTGGTTGCCCTGGACGGTGATGTGCCAGACGGTGTGGTTGTGACAGTGATGGCTGGCAACGACGACAACAGCAGCGCAGAGCTACGCAATGCCACAACCACCATCAAGCAAGGCTACGCCCACTTCAATGACCTTCGCTTCATAGGTCGCAGTGGGAGAGGTGGATAGACAAATGCATATAGTCATTAATGTACATAGGGCCTAAGCAATAATCATAATTAACCTGTATGTGTGTTATTTTTTCAGGCAAGAGTTTCACCCTGTCTATAAATGTGCTGACATCGCCCCCTCAGGTCGCCACCCTACACAGAGCCATCAAGGTCACTGTAGATGGACCGAGGCTGCCGAGACGTTAGTTCACACTAGAGAAAATATTACGCTTTCATCCAAGAGTTCAGTCAGACTTGCTTTCTGATTCTCTCTGTTTCCCAGGACAAAGGCATAAGGATGTAAATTTGGGAGTGTTCAGGCCTCCAGGCAGCATCAGCTGCAGCACTGCATCATCAGGTAGCTTACAATACAAGATGAGGAATGTTTCTTCAGTCCTGACTTTTTAAATCAGGTGAAACTAGATATTTGGAAAGGCAGTGTGAGTGTTTGGTCACCATCAACACTAGAAATGATTCCTTGTCAGTATTAACTTTCACATACAATGTGCATCTAGTAGGCTTGCAGCGTTTCCACAAAAGCACATTTCATCCTTAATATTGTGTATTTTTCCATAAAATATTGCTTATAATGTAGTTGTATTAAATAACGGTAGGATTTATGAGCTAGTGCTTTTCCAATAATGTATTTTTGAGTAGTTTGATCAATAATGCATCATAGCTTTTGTATTTTCAATTGTAAAATTTTATTTTTCAAACAATTGATATTTAATTAAACAATAAAAATTGCAAAAATATTTTACAAGTTAATACATATTTTGTTAATATATAATTTTATGGGCAATAAAAAAGGAATTATTAAAATAATTTACAAATGATATAATAATCCATCAACATAATTAAACTTAAACATGTATAGTACTTGAGTAAATGCACTTGATAATTCATTCACATTTACTGAAATTGACAAAAATGGAAAAACGTTGTTGTACACTTTGTGTCAAAATTAATTCAAGGTCAAAATTCACTTACTAGCTTTTTCACATGATCAAACTTGATCTGCTGAGGAAGACCATGAAATGCAGCTGAAATCTCTGAAAAATCCCAAGATGTTGACAGAAATGATTTTTTTGTTCTTTCTCAGACGGTCGATCTTTTTCCTCCTCTCTGTGGACCAATGAGCCGTCGTTTCGGGGCCAGGTGGCCCCTCTCAGTTCATCCTTCACCCCAAGTCCCAGAATGCACCACCTACCTGCCCTGTCCTACTCCACCCAGCCTCCTCCATACAGCTCCTACCTGTCCTCCCCTCCCCCTCCGCTGAGCCACAGTGGTCCGTTCCAGCCGGGCAGCCTCTACTACGGCCCCAGCCAACCGGTCCAAACCACCGGGGAGGACCGCAGCATCATCACAACGCTGAATTATATTGAAGGGACGTGTCTTTCTATTAGAGGGGAGGAACCTGTCTGGAGACCTTACTGAGAACTATACCTTAAAATAGAACATTTTACTACATTGGGTCAATTGGATTCCTGTGAAAAGTAAAAATTGCCTTCTTACATTATGATACAGCTGTTGAAATTCACTGTATCTCACCTTCCAGCAATTCTTTTAGATTCAATTCAGTTTTGAAAGTAGTGTCTGTTTCAATACATTCTATGTAGTGACACCAGGGAGCATATTGTTTTGCATCTACTTTTACTCATTGTATTTCTCTGTATTTGTTTTGTGTCTATTTTTTACTTGTTTTGTGCTTCTGTAGTTATTTTAAACATATATTTTTACTTATTTTGTTTCTCTTTGTCCTTGTTTTTCATCTCTCTGTTGTTTTGCAGTTGTTGTGCACAACTCAATGTTGGATCACAAATATTGTTTATTGCCCAGTAAAAAGGACAATAGAAAACAAAATGGAACTTTTTTTTATTTCATATATCACTTCTGCTTTTCTTCTTCCAGCGTGACAAAATAGAAACATATATACAGATTCAAATGAAATCATTTATTTTATTTACACAAAACTTTTACTGAACACTTAAGATTTCATGGTGGAGCAGTGGTTAGAGGCAGGTAGGTTCAGGGTTCGAGTCCCGGCTGACCCGGGGCCTTTCTGTGTGGAGTCTACATGTTCTCCCTGTGCCTGCGTGGTTTCTCTCCAGCTTCCTCCCACAGTCCAAAGACATGCAGCTTAGGTTGACTGGTGACTCTAAACTGCCCGTAGGAGTGAGTGTGGTTGTTTGTCTACATGTCAGCCCTGTGACAGACTGGAGACCTGTCCAGGGTGGACCCTGCCTCTCGCCCAGTGTCAGCTGGGATTGGCTCCAGCCCCCATGACCCTGTTCAGGAATAAGTGGTATAGATAACAGATGGATGGAGCCTTAAGATTTATGTGTGAGGTTACAGGGTTAACTCTGCCAACTCAGACCTGCAGCTCATAGCAAACAATCACAGAAACTGCATTTCCATCTTCCACAGATGATCAGCTCTACTTCGGGTCTTCTGACTTACTTCTCTGTTTAAACATTCAGTAATGTAATTGTTGTCTACATTTTATTAGGCGAGCCGAAAGACAAAGAAGAAGGAAGGCAGCGCCAAACGAGCTCAGAGAGCCTCGTCCAATGTGTTTTCCATGTTTGAACAAACCC